ATGTGCGTGTGCGTGTGTGTGTGTGCGTGTGTGTGTGTGTGTATGTGTGTGGTGTGTGTGTATGTGTGTGTATGTGTGTGTGTATGTGTGTGTGGTGTGTGTGTATGTGTGTATGTGTGTATGTGTGTGTGTATGTGTGTATGTGTGTATGTGTGTGTATATGTGTGTGTATGTGTGTGTATGTGTGTGTATGTGTGTGTATGTGTGTGTATGTGTGTGTATGTGTGTGTGTGCGTGTGTGTATGTGTGTGTGTGCGCGTGTGTGTGTGTATGTGTGTGTGTGGTGTGTGTGTATGTGTCTGTGTGTATGTGTGTGTATGTGTGTGTGTATGTGTGTGTGTATGTGTGTATGTGTATGTGTGTGTATGTGTGTATCGCCATAATGAAACCAATCGTACTGTAAGAATTTACAAAATGAATTTTAGAAAACAATTAAAACTTGCCAGGCATCGAGGCTCACGCCTGCGATCCAGCTCTTGAGGCTGAGACCAGGGCATTACCGTAAATTTGACGCTAGCCTAGGCTACGTAGTGAGTTCCAGTTCCAGTGTGAGATGCTGATTCAAAACCCCCAAAACAAGCCCAGGGAGACGGCTCAGCAGGCAAAAGTAACTGCTTCACAAACAGGACAGCCTGAGGGGCGTCCCCGGAGCCCAAGTAGAACAGCCAGATGTGATGGTGAACATCTGTAACCCAACACTCCCACAGCAAGATGAGAACTGCCTCGAAGCTCACAGGCCAGCTAGCCTGAAGCACACAACATGGCGGAAACAAGAGAGACCCTGCCTCAAAAGCAAGACGGAAGGGGGGAACCAAATCCTTCAGGTTGTCCTCGGACCCACCTATCTGCGCCACCGCACATGCGTGCTAGAACTCACGTATGCCCTCAGACATGCATATGCGCTACTAATAAATCAAGTTAATGTTAAATGACAAAGCAAAGAGGAGGGGAGAGGTCTGAGGATGCAGTCCAGTTGGAGAGCGCTTGCAGAGAATGCCTGAGGCCCCGGAGTTCATCCCCAGTACCAACTATCTGTTCTTTTTTTAAACAACAACAACAAAAGAGGGGGCAGCAAGATGGCCTAGTGGATAAAGGTGCCTTGCTGAAGGAGCCTAACACCCCAAGTTCAGCCTCAGAAACCCAAATAAGGACGGAAGGAGAGAACCGCCTCATAAAGTTGTTCTTTGGCCTCTGCCAGCACTCTGTGGAATATGTGTGCAAGAACACACACACACACACACACACACACACACACACACACACAAAAACTGAGGGGGGGGGGACATTCTGAGACCCGTGATCCATTAGCATGACCCTAACTACCATTTAGTCTCTCATGAGGAATCAGCTCAGATCATTTGCCTCGGGTGAGTCTTCATCAAACACGTCTTATCTACAGATAGAGAGATCAGAAGATTTGGAGAGAGTCACGGGGCAGGTCCCTGATTTCTCCCTGTCCCTGGCTTTGGAGACGATAACTTGAGTGACTCCTAATCTACAGGACAGGAAGGATCCCTTTTGCAACTCTCTCCATCAGACTGCGGGGTGTTCTCTGCCTCTGCTCTCCACATAAGACCCAAGAGTTACAAAAAACCCTAGCTTCGAGCAGCAGCGTGCTCCAAAGAGCACAGCAAGGTTTCTCGGCAGAGATTTAAAGTACTTGGGCAACAGCCTGGAAGAAAAGAAAACTCCGAGTCTGAAAAGTTGGCCAAACTCAAATAATAGCCTAAATAAATTCAGAACGCTCCAGGGCAGGCTCCTGCAGCCTTCTGCCCCTAAATCACAGTCCTGAGAAAGAGCTGCAGAATGTCACCACAGGGCCACACTGGCCAGGCCACAACTCATTTATCTGAACTCCCCATGCTCCATTTACCTTTTGACAGCCCCCTGCCTCCCTCACTATGCTTTCTTTTTCCCTCCACTCCCTTGATTTTTTTTTTTAAGCTCCCTCTTTGCCAATACAGTGATGTATTAGCCCTGCATGTTCTGAGACCACAGGTCTCCGGAGAGGATGAGGTGTCCCAAGACCGTGGAGTGACAGTGGTCTTGGCTCTAAGGCGAGTCCTGCTCTTTTGGGGTGGGAGTGGAGAGTAAGGTCTCATGTAGCCCAGGCTGGCCTCAAGATCACGATGTAATGAGGATGACCTCAAATGCCCGATCCTCCCCCTGGGCTCCGCCCGAAGTCTCTACACAAGACCTGGAGTTACAAAACCCGAGCACACCAAAGACGACAGCGACACTTGTCACCCACTTTCCAAGTGCCAGGGCTAAAAGTGACCTGGCACACCCACACTCAGTTTGGGGGTACTGGATATTGAACCCCAGGCTTTGTGGAAGCTAGAGAAGTACAATCGGGATGAAATCCCTCTGGGTGAGATCGGGGAGAGTTGGGAAGGAACCATAAAAAAGCTCTCTTCAGCAACATGAAGAGTGAGTTGGTTTTTGGGTTCCAGCAACAACACAAAATGAGCCAGTGTGAATTTCCACACCCTCTACAAGCCCATACAAACACGAGCAGGAAAAATATTTTCACAGGCATACTTGAGCTCATAAAATAATGAAAAATCCCTATGTGCAAGAAATAAAAAGACAGAACTTTGATTGAGGGTAGGGTACATCACCTGATTTGATGATAGTTCAAGAAGATATTCCCCCTTCACCCCAAAGGAGCCCTGGCCTGGAACTTCATGCATCCCAAAATAGTGACCCAACACAAAATTGTAAACTTACTGAAAACAGCATGACTTTTTTTTTTTTAGCTCCATCGCTCAGTTCTCCAATGTGAACTTTGTAGAGTGTTAGAGTGTTGGGCATGCCTGGTAGAGGCTGGAGCACTGATGTCCACATAAAAACCACCAACGATGAACAGATGGCATTGGGGGGCCCTGGGATGGAGAACCCAAGAGTACCAGAGATTCTCAGACGATAGTTAATTTAAGCCTTTCTCATGGGCCCAGGAAATTCCTGGTGATACTTGCTTCTCTCCAGAGTTGGAGATGAGAAAATCAAATCACCAGGAAAAACTAAAATCTCAGTGCAGTTTCAAACACAAGGGTGGTCTACAATTGTATGCTGCTTATCTGGTATATGGACCAGGGTGCTCCAGAAAAACAAAGCCAGTGCGATTCCTGTGGGAGAGAGACTTACCGTAAGTTAGCCTGGAGGTCCAGGCAAACCACTGATGTTAAAGCTCCATTTCAAAGAGGGGTAAGAGGCAGAAACCTTATTCTCTTCAGCCCTCCATCTGATCCGATTATGCCCACTCACACTGTAGAGAGGACTGTTCCACTCAGGGTCTCTCAATT